CGCTGTTGCCACTGTCTTGGCTTCAAGTATCGACTCTACCAAAAAGTTGTGCTTCTATGCCCCCTACCCCCTCCAGACTGGGCTGGGATGAGCACACATGCTATTTTGGAGCCTTAGACAAATTTCTAAAGGACTACACCCATTATGTCGCCTGATCACTTCTCTTGGCCTCAACTCCTCCTGGTTGTGCCTTCTTCCTCTTCACCTGCCTGTCACTGAGGTCTCAACAGTTCACGTCTTGGCACCGAGGGCTCTTCCAATAACAAGACATCGGGTGATGTGTTCCTTGATCATCTCATACCACACAGGCGCTGCCTGCTTATAAACTATTACGTGTTGCCCGTTCCACATGTTTTGGATTTTAAACAAATGAGGGAGCACTAAAAGGAGCAGATACATTCATGTTAAAGAGACACCTTTCACTTCTCTCTGTAATGAGTGTTCTGTAGAACAGTTTGGGAAAGGATGCATTAGAGACCCCTTGCTCAAAAATTATTAAGAACTGCAAGACGGGAATAGACAAGCATGAAGCCAATAGCACAGCCCTTTGCCATGTGAGGTGCAGTGTGACTGCAAAGATGTCAAGCCCATGATGCTGGCCCTGCTGCTCAAACCTGTGAGGAACACTGCCGGTAATCATGGAAGCCGGGAACTGCGGGGTGAGGAAATTAGAGTGGACTCGTCAGGACCTGGTAGAACCCCTGCTAGAATGGCTTCCTTCCTCCACCCGGATCGTAGCTAATCTTGCCACTATGATCCTAAGAGCCTCCATAGCTCTCTATTGCCTACGACATCCAAACACCAGGCACAAAAGGCTCTTCGAATCTGATCCCCGTGTGCCTTTCCCGGCCGTTCACCAGCTCCCTCTCCCGGCTACTCCGGCAGCTTCCCTCCACTCACGCTTCTGTAACGAGCCCTGTGTTCTCTCGCCTCAGGGCCTCCTGCCTCTGCCTAATCCGATATGTGTCCTTCCCACCAGCTCTCCCCTGCCTGAACCCTACTTCAACTTTAGGACTCGCCCTTACTCATCACTTCTCATTTCCTGCGTGGCATGCCCTCTATCCCCCTCCCTCAGGCAGAATTCATTTCCTCCTCATCTGTATTCTCACGGCTCCATATACTTCCTTACTTATCACTTTGTGTTATGGTTATGTCACTTACATGTCAATAAAATTTTGAAAGGGAAGGACTTACTTATTATGGTACCCTGGCACTGAGCCTGGCACAGAGTAGACACAGATTTTGTTGAATGAAACTTCTATGTAAAAACAATTCAAGCAAAATGATCCTTGGACCTCGCGTTCTAAAGTTTCTGTTAACCCAAGAGGCAGGATAATGGGTGAGCGGTCCAGCCTGGACTTGAGTCGTGGCTGTGTCACTCTGAGGAGTTGCTTAACTTCTCTGTGACTCAGTCTCCTCAGCTACACATTGTTAATAATAGCACTACCAACCTCCAAGAATCGACCCCAGGAATAAATGAACTTATGCATGTCAAGCATGTCCAACAATTTCTAGCACATATTAAGGGTTAAATAAAGGTTAGCTACCTAACACTTATGCCATATTGATGTTACTTGGCATTACATATTCTTATTCCAAAGTATAAGGCTTCTACTACAATCAAGATTGAAGAGCAAAATAGGGTTCTTCTAAAACTTAGACAGTAGTTGCCCCTGAAAGTAAAATTGGGAAGAGTCAAAAGTTTTGAGTCAGACAGAACTGGCTTTGAATCCCACGTCGGTCAGAATCAAGCTCTGCGCCCATAGGCAAATCCTCGAACCTGTGTGAGCTTCAGTTTCCTTACCTCTGAAATGGGCGTTACAATACATAGTCTGCAAACCAAGAGGTAACATGAGCCTGCTGGTATGTTACAGGCTCAAAAGGAAACCCAAAAAAATGACGGTAATTATTACCATGTGATCCGCCACCTGTGAAAGGAGCCCTCCGTGAAATACGGTCTAAAAGTGGATGGTGGTGGGACATTTAGAACTTCCAAGGCTAATCTATCTAATGGGCACTTAGCTACCGGGAAACATGACTGACTGGAAGAGACAGCTTCCTAGAAGAAGCTGATAACAGAAGGGTTGCAATCTGCGCGGAATGTAGAACACATGGAAACACAAGGTTCCATCCAGATTTTGACAGTGTTTATCCAACTCTGAATCAGAAAAGAGAAAAAGAGACACTGACTCTAAAATCATTGATGATGCGTCACAGCAGAAATACACCCTGTGCGGAGCAGAGAAAATGCACCAGGATTTACCCTGAGGTCATTAAAATACCATTCAAACCAACCCTACCTGTTTGCTCTGATTCCACGATCACCATGCAATACTCCATTCACTAATCCGTCCTTCCTATACTCTGGTTTCTCTTCAGATCGCATAAATCTTTCACCTTTTACTAATACGTCCTTCCTAGTAACTTACCTCCAGAGGCTGGACTCCCTAAATGGCAGAAACAATACCTGGATACTGGAAAGGCATAGTGTCTGGAAATTCATGAATTGTCGCTTTTAATAAAATCAAGTGTTGGTTGTTATTGTTGCTGTTAATTTAGTTAACATGAGCCCAACGTGAAGAGCCTGATGAAGTCTGAAGACATGGCAAAAACTCAAGACGTTTTGTTTTCAAACCAGGGGATAACTCCCAGGATAAGGAAACCCCATCAAAGGACCACTTCCCTGTGAAAACCTGGCTGGCTGGCCAGCCCACCGGCCTCCATGACATCGCTACCTTCACGATGCATCTCTAGCACCAATCATTTGGAGAGGAGCATGAATGACCCAGCCCTGAAAAAAAATGCCATTCAATGCTATTCTCCTTCTCACACATAACCCAAGGAGAATCTCGAAACAGTATTAGGTGTCTTTGCTGCGGACCATACATTGAATGTCAACGGAGCACGGGATGAAAATCTTCAGTACCATCCTAGACTCTGACAGTATCTCAAATCCACTTTCATATTTATAGTCACTTTTCCATATAAAATATGACCCGCTGTTGCTAACAGGCCAATAGTAGGGAAGATTATATCAATAATGTCTATGTAGGTATATTCATCTTGGTGTTTGTTCTAATCTACACTCTCCATAAAACTTGGTTAATAAGATAAAAGAAGGGCTGTCCTTTAGCCTTCCAGCCTGGTCCTCACAGAGATGCTTCTGATAACTCACCATAAGACACGCTTTTAAAAGTTGTTTCAAGAAATATGGACGCCAGCATTTCTGTTTTTTAGATACAGCCTCAGGAACACCACCAAACACAAGCTAAAAGCCTTCCGAGTGTTTTAAATCCAAGGATTACAGAGGATTTCACAGTTTACTCCTTGGTGAGGATGGTTTCTCAAAACATGGACCATTTGGGTTTTAAAAGCATCTGAGCAAGATAAATAAATCTAGGAGCCAAAAGGTACGTAAAAGTTGGAGAAAAAAAAAAGCCCTGAATTTATTTCCCAAATATCCTAAATGAAAACACATATTCTATTAAGAAAAGAGAGAGACACGCCCCTCCCCACTTTACTCTCAAAAAGGAGGATATATGAAGTGGCGCAGCCCCCAGAGAGCACTATTGGACTCACAACAGTCTCCGTGGTTTCACACATTTGTTACTAGACTGGTCCAAACAGACGTGGAAATACACAGCCACCCGCTCAGCAAAGAGTTCCCAGGTTACTTATAAAATTCAGCAATCTTCCCTAAAAATGTAAATTCTCTCTTTGTTTATCACGCTCCTCGCATAGAAATGTGTGATTAAATATGTTACATAATTACCAAATATTTACTAAACGTGGTCAAATTTACTGAGAATCATTTGTGCTGCAATTTCCTCTAATGCTTAAAAATGTAATGAAATCAATGTGTTCAAATACACATTTACTAAACTGGCGTGAATGTGATGAGAGATTTAAAAAAAAAACAAAAAAAAAACGCACCCCACCTTAGTGCCATGTGCGATTCCTGTTCACAGCACTAAGGAAAGGGAGGGGTGCAGAGGCAGACCCTCGTTGGTCAGCGGTGATCTCCACGCATTCGCATGTCACCCAAAAGGCTTTTGAATCTGGCACGGGCAAGGAGAACCAGGCTAAGCCAGCAATGAACTGATATACGATATTCCCCAAATCCCTCCAGTCTCAGGAGACAGCCTCCTCGACATGTCAACAGAAAGACAGTTGTGCAAAAATTGAGCCACTACACAAACTACTCATCTGCCCAGGTCCCATTTACATCTACCTCATGATGTAAAGTCTCTGTCCGTCATGCCTGGGGTGTTGCCCCAGCCCACAGCCTTCTCAGAGAACCCCCGTTGCCCACCCACCTGCAGATTGGCCTTCCCGTTCGTGCCATATGACCCTGAGGAGCTGGCATGGCCTGACCACAATGCAGCCCATCAGAATGTCTCTCTGAGAGTTGAGAGTTGTGAGAGAGGGAAGTCAGCCAGCCATGCTGGTCCTTGGTCCCAGCACATGCACACACAGCAGCCGTGGTGCAGCCGTCCCTATCACCGATGAGCAGCAAACACCCAACTGGAGAGAGAGAAAGAGAGAGGACAAGGAGGGGGAGAGAGAAGCCACAAGCAGAGGAGAAAGACGACCTGAGAACACAGGGCTGAGGTTGGGAGGGAGTGATACAAGCTGGTTCCCACCGTGGTCCCACCTCCTGTTTCCAGCTGCGTGGATTTCCTCCAGTTCCATGACCCCCCAACTCGTTGGCGCTCCATACCCGTCTATGCTGGCGCTTCCTACCTTCCTCTTGTCATACCTCATCCTCCCCCGATTCCCTCCAGAGGAAGCATGCCACCTTGAAGTAGCGTGTTCCTCCTTTCCCACCACCTTCTTCTCCCAGGTCGCAGTTAGAATATTTGACCATGTTTCTGTAGCTGTCTCCTGCGGCAGTAAACGAGGCAAGTTTGAAATCATCGATCTCTGTTCTCACTTCTCTCTTGAATTGGGGGCTTTCAGGCCCCTTTATTGAAAAGCATTTCCTTTTCAAATCCACTTACCTTTAATCAAAACCAGAAACATACAACCAACGGACCGCAACAAACAACCCCAGCGGCAACGATGCAGTAAGAATCCGGTTTTTTCCATCCACTTTGATTTCTGCTTAGTCTGCCTGGCGTCCTTGTTTCCAGCCTTTCAAAAAGAAAAAGAAAAAACCTTCTATCAGACTTTCCATGTTTTTTAATGACTTAACACATTGACCTGCCAAAAAGGCCCAAGGCTGGAAAACCCTAATAAGGGCTTATAATAATGGAGTTTCTCCCCAGAACAAGCCTCCCCCCAGAGCACCTGAGTCAGCCGGCTCAGTGGGGAGCAACCCCCCACAAAACCAGAAAGAAGGACTGTGTGCCCAGGCAGCCACCACAGAATTCCAGGGACAATTCAAGCCGACCAAAGAATCAACAAAGAGACAGCTCCAACCCTCCGCACACAAGGATTTTTTTTTTTAACTGCATTGACAGTAGAGTTTTGGGGAACCCGAATCTTACCTTTTTTCTTAGGTGTGGAGATTGCTATTGTTCTGAGATTTGATGCTATTGTTACAAACGCACATGAAGGACATGAAGGTCATTTGGTTTTAATGTGGAAGAGAGAGGCGTTCCCACGGCGGCGCGCTGGAATGAATTTTCTCGCAGGTCTTCAGCCATGAGAGTGCTTCTCTGCCTCTCCGCCAGGTGAAAACCTTCCAGGTGACGCTTTTTACGCAGCAAACTAACTGGAAATGGCCCTCGTGTTAAAGGTTGTTAAGCAGATGACTTTGACCTGTCTTCTCCCGCACCCCTAAAGGGAAATAAAAGGCACACAGGCTTTAAATCCAATTAAAAAAAAGTGCTTTACAAAAACTATCACCTGATAAAGAGCTCCAGAGCAAACCACTGAGGTAGCTCAGGAGTCACCTTTCTTCTCCGGGGTGTTTAGCATAAGAAAGAGGATGAGGTCATCTGAAGGCTAGGACCTCCTGAAGGCGGTTCCAGGCATCTGGTTTTATTATTAACCACTTCCCGGATGCAGGAGAACATTTTCGTTTGCCCTCTGTTTGTGGAAATCATCCCAAATAGACGTCCCAGCCATGGGGCACTTGCAGACTTGGTTGAAGACGCATATTAACTCATGGGTTTTACCTGGGAGCCAAAGGCCTTCCTGTAAATTGCGTTTTGAAGACTTGGGACAAAACCCAGGACAAATCTCCATTTTGAGGAGCTCACTCCCTGGCCTCCACCTCCTCTCACAGCAGCTCTCTTCTTGGGGTACCATGATTCCAACAACCACTTGCTGGTCCAGGGAACCCCCATCTGTTGATCCTGTCACCTTTTCAAGGTCCCTGAGCCCCCTCGCGTCACCACTCTTGTCCTGTAACAGCTCAGTTTTCCTAGTCCGTCATGATAATTGCCCCCTTGCTGAGGCCCTTCGCTCCCGGGACCCTCTCTCACTTTGTCTTCCTTCCTTGGCGAAACTCCAGCCACTGCCTAATCCACGCCCGCACCTGCTCAGCTGATCGCGGCTGCAGACAGGCTGGGCTCTGTTTAAACTCATAGCCGGATCCTTAAAGGGCCCTTCCAGCTGGCAGCCCATTCTACCATCACTTCCTAGACCATTTCCTAGACCACTGCTTCATATCTTCTTTTCATCAAACCCCCAACACCTCCTTACCTATATTCCCTCTCAGACCAGCACCTCACTGCCTTTTCCACTGAGAAAACTGAAGGACTCAGCATGGATTGCCATCAGCCACACACTCCCTCCCCCCATCTCATTCACCCACCCCTGTGACCGTGCTACAAACTTTGCCTTTTTCCTGTTATTGGAAATAAACGGAGCACCAGCGTCCGTGCCCCCCACCCGTGAGACCGTCACCCCCAAACCCTCCCCCCTCTCACCATGGTCAGTTTTCCCGTCTCTGCAATAGCTTTCCCAGCAACAATAATGTCTCTTAGTCCAGTCTGATACTTAATAGGTATTGCAAATTTAACTTGTCTAAATTCAAGCTCCGGAGATCCTACCCCTAATCTCCCACAGCTTCCCCATCTCAGCTGCTGACATTAAAATTTTGGAATAATTCTTTCACATCCTATATCCAATCGGACGACAAATCCTTTTATTTATTTATTTTTAATTTTTTTAGATGAGCCATCCTGCCACCTGTTGGCAGCTCAGCGGCAGCTCAACTCGGGCTGGGAATCAAACCGGCGACCCTGTTGCTCAGAGCTCACACTCTTGAGCGAGCTCTTAACCAACTGAGCCACTCAACTGGCTTGACAAATCCTTTTAACCTCACCTTCAAAGTATATCCAGATCTGATCACAGTGGACCCTCAAGCCACACGTATCTGGAGAGGCGGGTCCACCCACAGGCTGATTTTTTTCAATAAATACGGTCAGTCCTTTGCATCCATGGGTTCAACCAACCGCGGGTTCAATCAACTGCGGAAGGAACAAACTGTTTTATTCCATCTGTGCTTTATTGCCTCCACGGACACAAAACCCACATACATAGGCCCACTGCAGAGTCAAAAGGTCTATGCAGATTTTCCACAATGTGGTGGTGGTGGGGGGTGGTCACGGTCCCTAACCCTGGGTTGTTCAAGGGTCACCTCTAGTGTCCTGGCCTGCTTAACCCCCCTCGCCTCTCACTGAGCTGTCACAGCAGTCACTTCTTGTCTGTTCCTCCAGCGCACAGGCCAGCCCAGGCTAGGACCGCCCTTTCCCGGTTAGCTCTCGGAGCAGCCCTCCCATCTAAGGCCTCCCGCCCAGTATCAGCATGATCTGCACTTGAAATCCTGACCCTCGAGCACTCCCCTACTCCTCTTCTCCCCTGCACCCATCTCTGTACACTCTCACCATCCAACACTACGTGTCACGCGCTGTCCTGGACCATGACAGACAGGACACAAGCTGCAAGAAGGTGGGGATTGTATCTGCCGGCTGCTTCAGCCTCAGCACCTGGAACGGAGCCTGCCACTCGGTAGGTCCTCAAAAAACGTCTGTGGAGTGCAGGGAGAATTATGTAAGTGGCACCTGCCACGCCACTAACGCCCCTCACTTGCAGTGCATTCGTGTTTAAGGCGGTGCCCTACAGTTGCCTTCAAAGCAGGAATGGTATAAAGACCCTCACCAGCTCACCTTCGGGCCGGTGGGACTGCTGACTGATGGAGATCGGGAGGACAGAGAGGGGAGCTAGCGGAGGTCACACATGGTGGGTATGTTTCTGCTCAGGCTGCTGTAATAAATACACGAACTGGGCAGCTTAAACAACAGTGATCCATTTTCTCAGTTCTGGTACACGATCCAGGTTCTAGATGATTAGATTTCGGGTGCGGGAGCTCTTCCTGCAGATGGCTGCCTCCTTGCTGTGCTCTCGGGTGGCCTTCACTTAGTGTGTGCATGTGGGAAAGGATGAGAGAGAGAGAATAAATACCCTGGTGTGTCTTCACATAAGGACACCAATCCTACTGTATCAGGGCCCCACCCTTATGACCTTGTTTAACCTTGCTACTTTCTTAGAGGCCCATCTCCAAAGATTGCCACACAGGGGTTCAGGGGTTGGGGCTTCACCATATAGATTTGGGGAGGACAGAAATATTCAGTGCATGACATGGTCTCATTGAATTGTCTTGCGTCAGGCTTAGCACAGATTCCACCAACTTCTGTTTTTCTTCATGAGTCATGGTGCATGTGGGGGCCAATTCCTGGGCTATCCTTTTGTTTGTCTTCACACACACTGTCTTTGGATGGTATATAGTTATGGTTTCCCTTCCTAATATGCTTGTTAGGGGTCTATTCAATGCTCACATCTGTCACAACGCCTCCTCCACAAAAACAAAATAAAAACACTACCTAATTAATAATTGAGTTTTAAGGTTTTACTCATGATCTGATTCCTCACTGATAAATAAATGGTCCAAAGTTTACAAGTGGCCTTTCTTACTCTGTGAACCCATCCACCAGCATGTACTATGCTCAGACGCAGGTACAGGCCCCAAAGACCACAACAGAAACAGGTGACACTGCCCCTGTGTGCAAAAAGCTTGTGATCTTAGAAAGGAGGAAAGATTTACATGGAGCGTGGCAGTAAAACTAATACAGGACATGACAGAGGGAAGTGACAAATAAGGTGTCACAGATGGTACATGCTGTAGAATATCAGAAGTTTTTTGTGCCGTTGGAACTAAAGGACGCCTCGTGGTGGTATTGCTATGTATGACAACAGTGTTGGTATTTTCAATCCCAGTGAATTTCAAAAACAAACATCCAGAAAATTACCCTGATCCGGAGAAGAGAAACATCCCACAATGCTGCTTCCTGTGAGCTGGGGAAGAAAAGGTAACTCATTTTCGGACTGTGGGCAGATTTAAGGGAACAAGAAACTGGACTGGGTACTAGTAAGAGTGATTGCTTTTAACCAGACCCACTGCGTTTTAAATTGGGACACAAGTGTCTGTCACCAGAGGGAATTCACACGTGAGACAAACTGTTATCCTGATGTGTGGGAGGGCAGAATTTTTCCTTAAATATCACTTTCACACTTGTGAATGGACAATGGGGTTTTTAGGTCTTTCAGGGTGAAAAAAATACTTTTTTTCCCACCTAGCTTACTGAAATGAATATAAAAACATTTGGCAAATTTCATAGCATCATGTTTACTTTGCAACCTGTGCAAACATGTGAAATAAAATTTGGCTAAAATTATCTATCACATAAAAAGAACACTAGACCTAGACTTCATTCAATTTTGTGTCTTATGAGTGTTCATTATACCAAGGAAGTGATCCAAAATTGTATGGTATTTCATCATACTGAAAATCATCATGTTTATAAAGTGATATATCCTAAAACTAAGACCTTCCTTGGCATGTAAGTCCAATGGTTGTGTTTCTATGTGTTTTCTGGTGGTTAAAACATCTTGATGACCACCAGGCTGTGTCAGGTTCCACACTCTGTCATCTGGTGTGAGTATGAGTGAGTTTGTCACTTTCAAACCACAACGCCTTATGGCTTAAGTCCTGATGTCCTGAGTGGTGCACGTTATATAGCAGCCCTGAGTATTTGGCAATTTGTCTCTGAAAATAGCTTGCTACAATGGCTGTAGACACTATTCAGACAATAGTGATGTTTTCAGCACCCGTAATGAAAAAGTAGAATCTTAACAGGCCCTGATACCTTGTGCCTGGACCTGCTTTTATCACCCCAAAACCAAGTGTCGTAGAAACCTTGGTCTGACTATTTTGGCTCCATCGACGTCATACTAGAGATTGGAGTGATATCAATGGAGCACATATTAATTTGGAATGAGTACTACCTTACAGAAGGGGCACTGGCTTTTCCCATAAACGCAGCAGGCAATGAGCGAATGGGGAACCCAAAATCAACATTGATATAATTTGGCTCCGCACAAAAGAAATGTTACTAGCCCACCCACCTTTTCCTATATTGCGGCCCTCACTGCTCAAAGTTTTCCTATCATCTGTCCACGTCCTGCCTAATTTCACATTCTTCCTTTCTACAAATCCTGGGCTCCAGGTAAATCATCATACTCTCTCTCTCCAATCAATGGTTTGCTTTCTCTCCTTTGTACTGTTGCTCTCACTATCCTTCTTTCGTAAAGTTTTTCATCCTATCCCACCCTGAAAATTTAACCCCTCAATCCTTCTTAAATTTTTTTTTTCAGGATCACTTTAAGTCCTATGAACTACTTCTATAATCATTTTAGTCTGAAATGATCTTTTTTTTATTTTTTCATAAACACCAATAGCAATTACTGGCCATAAA